GGGGAGCAGGGTGGGCCAGGGGAAGGAAGTGGGCAAAGATGTGGTTTCTGAATTAGTCCAGGCTCAGCCTGATCTCATGGGGCGCTTCGGAGTGGAGGGACAGAAATTGTGCGGCTCAGAGGCAAGGGGGCTGGACCGCTGTGCACATAACCCCTCCACCTTGCCAGTCACACACGAACTTCTAGTCAGTCATTGGCCATGGGCTGCCCCTCAGGGGCTGGGGGATGGGTAAGGGGTCAGGTAAGTGGACCGTGGCAGGCACCGGTAGCATCTGCTGGAAGGACAGGACATACGCCTCCTGGCTAATAGGATATCTCTCTGGGTGATGATGTAAAAACTGTTTTTCCTCGGTGTTTTTCTGTAGTGTACAAGTTTTCTAACGTTGCGTCTACTGATTTTGGAATTAGAAAAAAAGCAAATTCAATTAAATTCATGCAGCAAAATCACCTGGTTTGTCACAGGCAGAATAACAGAGTAAATGACCCCCCATTCCTGACCCTCTGGGGTGACCTCTTGCTGACACCTGACATTGGGCAGATGGCCCCCGCTCACTGTTGGGCAGTGGCACTTGTCATCCTAGCTTCTCTTCTTGTTCATCAGGCTCGGGGTGGGGGGGCCCCTTGTTAGCCCTGAAGCACTGAAGGGACGCTGACCGTGGGACTCATAAATCAGGACTATGGCTGGTGGATGGGGCGCCACGAGGAGACCAGGCAGCTGGTGTTTGGCCATAAACAATAATAAGTATAATGTATGTGCCAGACATGGTCTGGACCTTTACGTGGCATCTTGTTTAATCCCTGCAGCAGCCCATGTGGTAGTCCTGGTTGCTCTTATATGACTGCTGAGGAGGTCCCTGGATTGGGGTTTAGGAGACTAGAGCTCTGGTTTTTGTTCCACCGCCAGTGAAAAACTGAAACCATCGGACCGAGTGAGTGAGTGTTGGTCAAACCGCACCACAGCCCCCTGAGGCTGAGCCGGGAGGTGCAGGCAGGCAGTGCCGCCGAGAGGGGAGGACTGGCCTGGGAATGGGACCACCGCAGCTCTCCTCCACCTCCGTCCTGTGTCAGCCACCTTCCCGGGTCTGCAGCGGGTGCGGCTGCGCAGGGCCTGCCTCCCGGGCTCCAAGGGGCTCCGTGAGTTAACGCTCATAGACACCACCTTGAAATTCTTAGTAACTGAACTCTGAGTTTGTGTTTGGTAAGTGACGTCTGGAGCGTGTGCCTGGGGCTTGCAGCCATGAGTGATGCTCAGTCCCACTTCCTGCTGTCTGTCCGCTCCCTGGGAGGTGTTCTCCGCTCCTGCTCTTGGTCCCTGGTGCCTCCGGCCTCCCCTTCCGGCCTTGCTGGCCTCACCCTGGGTTGGAAACTGGGATGCATTGGTGGGGGGATGGGGAAGGGAGCTCCGATCCCTGTCCTCTAACCCCCACAGGCCTGGCCATGGGCATAGGGAGGGTTGGGGCCAGGTGCGTGTCTTGAAGTGTCTCTGGGTGAAAAGGTAGTGGCTGTCCTCACCCAGGCTGGAAGCACCGTGGGGCACTCACTGGGTGGCTCTCACCCACCCTCGGCCCAGGTTCCAAGTCATGACCCACATAGAAAATGGTAACATTTGCCTCTGACAACCCTGAAGCAATCTGCACATGGGGGTCTGAACTCATTGATTCACTTCAACTATCAAATAAATCTGTAACAGTAAGTTAACATTTTTTTTGTTTGTTTTTTTTTTGTTGTTTTTTAAAGACTTTATTTATTTATTTTTAGAGAGAGAAGGGAGGGAGATAGACAGAGAGAGAGAGAGAGAGAGAGAAACATCAATGTGCGGTTGCTGGGGGCCGTGGCCTGCAACCCAGGCATGTGCCCTGACTGGGAGTCGAACCTGCGACACTTTGGTTTGCAGCCCACGCTCAATCCACTGAGCCACGCCAGCCAGGGCTAAGTTAACATTTTTTTTTAAGGAAAAGGAAAGGGGAACATGCATACAGCACAAGGTAAACGGCCATGGTAGTGTTGGCTAACCCAAGGGCCAAAGGTAGCTGTGCCCTAGACTTGATTAAAGCTGGTCTCTGTGTTAGAAGCCCCTTCTCCATCCCCACCTTGGCACACCCCCCCTTCCCCACAAGACATCTAGGGGCCAAGGGGACACACCCACCAAAGCCCGCAGCCCTCCTTCGGGGCCTGTTGCTTCTCCCTTCCCGTGGTCACAGATGAGCCTGCGGCCGACATGCCTGACTAATGCGTGGCTCACACCACCTGTGACTCACCACAGGCGTTGGACGGTGCTAGCACTGGTCTATCCCTTATTCAGCCTGAGGAGTTCAGCCAAACAAGTTCACCCTTGGACGTTCCAGCAATGTCAAGTTGCCCTAGGAATTTCTGAGCGCTTGCGTTTCTTATTCTTACCCCACAGCAGGCCAGTAACAACTGTGTGGTGCCTGGACCACGCTGAGAAGCTCTGCTCTAGACTCTTATGTGGGCGCCAGGACCCCGGAATCAGCAGCCCAAATGACACCACGCCTACTCCCAGGTTCTCCAGCTTTGCCCACGGCCCGGGGGCCACCGTTCACAGGGAGAAGGGCAGATGAAGATTGAGTGTGTGTGCTGGGGTGTCATACACATGCATTGGAGACCCTTTTGGTGCAGGATGGAGGGGAGGTGGGAAGAAAAGGGGTGCAGGCTCCCAGCTGGTGGAGGAAGGGGGCACAAAGATTTGGGGTCAGCCCAGCTGAAGGAGCCCATTTCTCTGCACATCTGGAACCCATTGACCATGTGCCCACGCACTAGGGCCTGCCAGTCGGGAAACACGGAACCAGGTACTTTCTGTCATGACTTTCAATGTTCTGAACTCTGATTTCTGTCTGTGGCCGCAGGCGGGAGCCTCTCAGCCATCTGCAGAGTAGGTGGGTGGCCTGTGGACACGCCTCCTTTGGCTAGCTGCTCCCTCAGCTGCGCTGGGCCTTGTCCCCCACCCCTCCCGCCCTTAGCACACCAGGTGCACACGGCGCTGCGCCTTGCGCCAATGATTTCCCAACACGCTGGGGAAGGATTTTGTTTGCTTTCCTTAAGTTTGACAAAAAGCGAACCCAGGCAAACACCTCAAAAGGAAAGACAGGCAAACGACTTTGACAATTAAAAAAACACACACAGTCAGCCAACAGGCATGTGAATAAGGTAATATCTCTAGGAAATCAAGAAGCGTAAGTCCAAGCAATGAGATACCTTATTTTGTCTCTTAAACTGGCAAAGATGAGAAACAAAAAAGAAGATATTCAGTGTTTGTGAGGATTGGGGGAATATTGTCCTTTCGTATACTGTTAGCAGAAGGGCAATAGGGTGATAGGAGATTTGCAGGGATAAATTCGGCAATACATTGCAAAAGACCTTACACTGTACACATCCTTGGAAATCTTGAATGCATTGCTTCAGTCTCACGTCCGTTGGCTGTTGATGAGATCTCTGAAGTCAATCTCATTTTCGATTTTTTCCCTTTTTTTGAAGCTTTTCTTGTTATCAATGACATTCTGAAACCTCACTAAGATCTATTTAGGTTTGGCTTTCTTTTTTATTTATCCTGCTCAGCATTTGGGAGGATATTTCAATTTCACATTATCCTTCTGTTCTGAGAAATACTTAAGCCGGATTTGTCTAGAATGCGTCACAGGACTCAGGAGCACTTTCCTTACGTTTATTGTGAAGGACATTACAAAGGACACAGATGAGTAGCCAGAGGAAGAAGTACGTAGGGTGAAGCCCAGAAGAGCTTCTGGTCTCGTGGAGTTGGGGTGCACCACCCTCCTCACACATGGGGTGCTTGTACCAACCTTAATGCTTCCTAAACACTGTTATTTAGGGGGGTTTATGGAGGTTTCACCATGTAGTATGGTCAACCACTAACTCGATCTCTCGCTCCTCTCCCCTCCCCAAAGGTTAGGAGATGAGACTGGAAGACCCAAGCTTCTCACTGAGGCGAAGCCTTCCTGGCAACCAGCCCTCCCCCTGAAGCTGTCTGGGGTGTGGGAAGAGGGGCGCAAAGTGGCCTCATTAGAGCAAAGGGTGCTCCCATCTCTCCTGTCACTCACAAAGTCCTAAGGGGTATAGGAGCTCTGTGTCCCGTACCGTGAGCAAAGACCAAGGTCGTGACAAAAGATGATCCCATCACCCCATCACTCAGGACATTAGAGGGGCTTTAGAAGCTCTGTGCCAGGAACTGGGGATGACGACCAAATATACGGTTCTTATGGTATCATGATATCCCACCCTCACAGGCTGCTCCGTGCCGACGGCCTCCTCTGGTGGAGCAGAGCGGCCGGCGTGCCTGGCTGCCCCGGCCTCCCCGTGGCGGTCGTGCAGCCTCGGCCCACGTCTGGTCTCCTGCTCGGTGCTCACCCTCGTGCTCTTATGCTTCTCTTTCCCGTCAGACACTCTTTGTGCATGAATTCCTCCCGGTAGGCCCCCTCTTGTGTTTCAGTACGGCCACTTAAACCTTATTTTACCATTTCTTGGCGTTTGTTATGGGAGGGACAGAGTCCAACACCTTGAGGTGGAATTCTGATAAAAAACTGTGTAACCTTCAAACCAGCAATCCACTCCACACCAGTAATTAAGAGGAGAGCTTTAACTACAAAGAGTTTCATCACAGTAACATTTATTTTGGAAAAGTGAAAACATATATCCAACCAGAAAGGGTTAGCAAAATAAACGGTGATCCTTCCACACAACAGCGGGCTACGTCTAAAAAATAATATGACAATATTTCATGGCATGGGAAAATGCCACTGAGGTAGTAAGTAAAATTTTCAGGTTGCAAAATTATTTCTTGAATCTCATTTTTGTAAAACAAAACAAAAGAAACACATGTTCTTCTAGAGAAGGGTAACTTGGCAAGGCAGGAATTCTGGCGACTCTTCTTTCTTCCCTTTGGCTATATTTTTTCCAGGCTCTTGGGGACCGTTTGTAGCCATTGCCATGTGCAAGACTCTAGCACCATTCTCTGCTTCCCTCTGCCAGGTGTGCTGGAAGACGGACTGCCTTCCAATGGTGCGCCCCGGCCTACGGCCCCAGGTGGAATGTCCAACCCAGAGAAGAAGACAAGCTGTGGGACCCAGTGCCCGAATCCTCAGAGCCTCAGCTCCGGCACCCAGACCCAGAAACAGAACGGGTTTCGAACCACAGAGGTAGGTCACAGCCACAGAACCAACCTGGGACCGGACAAAGGGAGGGAAGCTGGCTTCAGGGCAGGGCCCCGCTGAGACGGTGCCCAGCAGAGAGGACTCACCTTGCGAAAGGAGATTCTCTGCCTCGCCCATGAGAAAACTGGTGCAAACAGAACAGCAAGACCCAACACTTACCGCCCATGAGAAAACTAGTGCAAACAGAACAGCAAGACCCAACACCTATCACAACCCCTGCCTTGAGGGTTGCTCTGTTTGTTGAATCAGCTGAAGTGGGTCCTTGACATTTGCACTCTGAAGGAAGTGTGTTTGCTTAAACACAGCTTTGTTCAGGTCTAGCCAGCTTGATAATGAGGACTGGGCTGGCGAGAACAACCAGTCTCAGGCCAGACAGCCGGCCAGCCTCAGGGGTTATTGGCAGGGTGGGGAGTGGGCAGGGAAGGAGAGAGAGATGACCCGTGTGGTGGGAGGAAGCCTGGCATTTGACCTCAGACCCCCCAAAGGTGGGCTGTGGGAATCTCCAAGGGGGACTCTCGCTGCAGAACGTGGTGGCCGCCTCACCCCCAGACTGTTGCTGTTAGAAAGGAAGCAGGAACGAGGTGTCATTGGCCTCGTTAGCATCCTTTCTGATCCTTTCTTTGCTCCCAGAGCTGTTGTTGGGAAGTGCTACCCCCGTGGGGATGAACACCCTTAGGAGGCCAGCTCGGGCTCTGCAGGCTCCCCTCTGTCCACTCCATCTCTCCCTCCCTCTTCCTCTTCTTGCCCATGCCCCACCCCCACTCAAAGTCCACTGTTTACCTGATGCTCCAAACCCATTTTTCCCTTCTCCCCTATCAAAACATACTGGTCCTGTCCCCTCAGGCCTATACCACCAGTTTTCTGAGGGTACAACTGGTCATCTAACGATGGAATTCCTGTTCATGTCAGTGAGTTACCACTCAAAGCTTTGGTCAAAAAACCTGTTGCAACTTCAGCTCTAATGCTCATTAACTAAGTAGACTTACAGGAATCATTTAATCTCTCAGAATCTCAAGTTCCTTACCCACACAATGGAAATAATACCAAAATGAGAGAACAGATGGGCCTGCTCTTTGTAAATTGACAAGTGCCATAAGACAGGCAATAAGGCCCTGGCCAGTGTGGTTCAGTCAGCTGGAGCATCGTGTTGTAAGCCGAAAGGTTGCAATTTTGATTCCCAGTCAGGGCACATGCCTAGGTTGTGGGTTCAACCCCCACTGGGGAGCATATAGGGCAACCAATTGATGCTTCTCTATCACATTAATGTGTGTCTCTCTCTCTCTCCCTCCCACCCCACCCCCTGCAAAAAAAAAAAAAAAATCAATAAGCATGCCCTTAGGTGAGGATTAAAAAAAGAAGAAGAAAAAGAAAGGCAGTAAGGATTCACAGGGATGGTTACGCACACCGTGCCATAACTCAATTAAATGAAACACTGATGGATGCTGTAGGAGGTAATGCGTGGGGAGTCGATCAGAAGATTTCAGTGGCCCTCCTGGGATTCTTAATACCCACTTTGCCTGTGCATAAACTGGCCTTCTAGAAGCCTAATTGTTGCTATCTCCCAAGGCAGACTGGGCCCCACAGAACTACCCTCAGAAGCGCTAGCATGGGCCCTGACATTTGTCCTCTAGCCTACTCTCCTCACCTGTGACCTTGCCCTTTGAGCCAGGATGTGCCGTGGTAGGGAGGATGCAGCCTTGCCTGGTGCGTGACATGGTCTGCACCTTTGCTTTCCCACCACCTTACTTCCTGCCCTCGTCATCCGTCACTTTAAAGCTGTGTTCTGCAATTTACGGAGCTTTCCTAGGTCTCCTGGCTCATTAAATCTTCCCAAGAGCACTGGGAAATAAGCATCATCCCCATTTTATAGACAGAGAAACTGAGGCTCATTTAATTGGATGATATGAATGGGCTGTTTAAGTGCTGGATGTGGGTATCAATAACTTTAAAGTGAAACAGGTGACTGTTTCAAAGGGGGAGCATACAGATGGTAAAGTACGTTTTTATAGAAGAATTACGTGTATTAGCTATTGTCATAATAATGCTGGAAAAAACATCAACGTTCACTGACTTAAAACAGCAGTCTTTGTTCCCCCTTCATAATCCGCTGCAACCTGAATGAGCGAGGCCTGACTTCAGGCTCCGGGGTCCGGTTCCAAGTCGAGCAGAACCTTCTTCCCCATGTGTATTATCCTGGGAGTCGGGCCAAAAGGGCAGTGGCACTCTGAAATACCTTCTTCTTATGACTATGACGGCGCTGGGACTCAAGGCGGGCTGCTCCCAAATGTGCCACTTGAGCATATTGATTATTTTGAATTAAAGTTACTTAAGAAACAGCTGGTGCGAAAAGGACACCCTGACTGTTCTCTGTCTCTCTGAAAGCAGAAAATAACTCTCCCGTGTGAGAGATCCCTTTATCTCCCGAGACAGGAAATTTGGGGCTGGGAGGGCCGTGCAAACCAGCTTCGCCGAGATTCCTCACTAATTAAGCACCTAAGCCTCAGTTTCTTAGTCTTGTCAATTCTTCATGAATTTATGGTTTCTTTAAAAAGTATCAAAGCTGCCTGCTTAGGTCATTTCCGTGGGTCTCATATCTGTGAGACCTCAGTAGGTATGAAATTAAACTTGATTTTCTCCTGTTCATCTGGCACACCTCAATTTAATTCTTCAACCAGCCAGAAGAACTCTGGAGGGCATAGAGAAATATTTTTCCTCCCCAACAGCGGAAACCCAAGGGGGCCATAACCTAACTATTCAAGGCACATTTCATGTCTCTGCTCACATCACAACAACCAACCTCCTATTGGCCAAAGCAAGTCACGTGGGCAAGCTCTACATCAGTAGGGCAAGGAAGTATTCTCTGTTCCCCAGTGGAGAGAGAGCTAGGAGCAAACATGCAATCCACCACATATAACATACATTCAGAGAAAGGTACAAGTCCTAAGTTCAATGAATTTTTATAAGTGACACGCCCATGTAACCGTCTTCCATATGAAGACGTAGAACATCATCGCTACCCCAGAAATCCTCCCTGTGTCCCTCCTCAGTCACCACCTGTCACCCACAGTGTCACCACTTTCCTGCATCCAGCACTGCACACCAGTTTTGTTTATTCTCAAGAGTCTTATCCATGGAATCGCACAGCATGTACGTGTGTCTGCCTTCTTTTGCTCAACATTATGCTAGTGAGGCTCATCCACGTTGCTGTGAGGTGCAGAAATTTCCTCATCTTCATGATGCGTATTTCATTCTGCTGGAAGGACATTTGCGTTGTTTTCAGTTTGGGGAGATTGCAAACAATACGGCCATTAACATTTTTTTGGTTGTATGTGTGTTTTTAAAAAATGTTTTTTAATTAAAAAAATTAAATGTATTGGGACAACATTGGTTAATACCGTTATATTTCAGGTGCACAGCTTTGTAACATACCGTCTGTTTATAACATATACATCTGTATACTCCGTTGTGTTCACCACCCGGGTTCTGGTCTCCTCCCGTCACTGTGCATGTGGCCCTCCCTCCACCCTCTCCGCCCGCCCACGTCCCTTCCCCTCTGCTAACCACCGTTCTGCTGTTTGTGTCTAGAGTTTGTTCATTTGTGTTGCTTTCTGTTTTGTATCCCACGTATGAGTGAAATCATTTTGCTCCTGTCTGTTTCCATCCTGCTGACTTCACTTAGTCTGATGCTCCTAAGGTCCATCCATGTTGTCACAAATGTATATCCTTCCTAGGGCTGAGTGGTATTCCATTGTGCGTGTGTGCCGCATCTTCATCCGTCAGAGGGCACTGAGGTTGTTTCCATGTAACACTCCTGTGCAGGCCCGTCTGTGGAAATTCTCTTCTTTGGGGCTGGTATGTAGGAGCGCAGTTGCTGGCTCATAGGATGAGGATGTGTGCCACTCTAATGGATACTGACAGATAGTTTTCCAAAGCGGTTATACCAGTTTACATGCTGACCAGCAGGTGGTGAGTTCTGGTTGTGGAACGTAAGAATTTCAGGCCAGTTAGTTGTGCTTAGTCCTTCTTCCTCAGGCCTGGCCTAGGCATAGTGTGGGGTGCTAAGCACACTGTTCTGTCATCTCATTGAATCCTCCCAATGACTCTGAAGTTGATATTGTTGTCTGCAGTCCACAACTGAAAATGGAGCTAAGGAAGGCACCCCCTCTGTCCACACTCACACATGCTCTGGGGTCTTGGGTGGTAATTAAAGGGGATCCAGACCCCTGACTCCAGCAGCAGTGGAAACTGTTGCAGGGGAGTGAGGACCACACACACCTGACCAACCCAGCACCGCAGGCAGACGGCCTATGTGGATAAGCCATCCCTGCAGCTTTCGTTTTCACGATTCAGTGAACAATGGCTACATTGTAACTGTTTCCAAAATAAGGTCAGGGAGCAGATCACCTACTGAAGCTCATCAGTGGGCTTGCTATGCTGAGACCCCACCAGCCACCAGTTGCCCTGGGTCCCTGAAAGGCTGTGGGGAAGGCTTTCTATCCGAGGTATCGGTTTATAGCACAAGCTTCCCTCTGATGTCAGGTTTGGTCAGCAGAGCCTGCTCACACCCACGCAGCTCTCAGCTGCCTAGACTCTGTCCAAGGAAGTCAGTTTTCTTCCTATTCCCTCCAGGGCTTTGACATACTGCTTCTTCCTAGCTTGTCTCTTATGCTCTGGGCTAAAGCTCCCTGCATTTTCAGTGTCTGGCTCGGGCAGTATCCATTGCCTCTTCCTGTCTTCCTTTGCTCCCCCAGGATGATCTATTAGCGTGGCACAGCATTTCCCTGTATGTCATCAGGCTGCCTGGCTGATGGGTCTTTGGCCCTTTTTTAAAGCTTCCCTTCCCCAGAAGAACTGGTTCACGAAGCATGCATCGTCATGCACATGCCGACTGTGGTATCCGCATTCAGATTTAAAACATTTGTGCATTAAAGCGGACCCTTGCTAGGCCTGGAAACTTCCTCAAGAGTTCCCAGGAGCAGTCTTTG